GTAACATATGGAGTATAATTAGCTTATAACTTTTTTCCAAATAAAATGGAGCATGCTTGTTGATTTTTAAATGGCAACCCTTCTGTGGTTTTAATAGCTGTATTTTTTAAAATGGTGTGAATTGTTGTTTGCTACTTTATATTTCCTGTTGTGTGGTCCTTTGTTAATTAACTAAGCATGTCAAACTTTCATTGGTATTCTGTTAACATTTTGCTTAATTTTAAAACTTTTATGCAATAAGTGTGTGTACAGTACCTAAAAGGTGACAGCGGCGAGGAGTCCTGTGGCACCTTGTAGACTAACTGAAGTGTAGGAGCATAAGCTTTCGTGGGCAAAGACCCACTTCGTCAGATGCATGTAGTGGAAATATCCAGAGGCAGGTATAAATATGGAGGCCAGAATCAGGCTGGAGATGACGAGGTGGATCCAATCAAGGAGGATGAGGCCCACTTCTAGTAGCTGATCTGGAGGTGTGAATTCCAAGAGAGGAGAAGCTGCTTTTGTAGTTAGCAAGACATTCACAGTCTTTGTTTAATCCAGAGTTGATTGTGTCAAACTTGAAGATGAACTGTAGCTCTGCAGTTTCTCTTTGAAGTCTGGTCCTGTAGTTTTTATGCTGCAGGATGGCTACTTTTAGATCTGCTATTGTGTGTCCAGGAAGATTGAAGTGTTCCCCTACAGGTTTTTGTATGTTGCCATTCCTAATATCTGATTTGTGTCCATTGATTCTATTACGTAGGGACTGTCCAGTTTGGCCGATGTATATAGCAGTGGGGCATTGTAGGCACCATCACAGGACCTAGCCAGATCAGCCATATTGTCACTGGTTCATTCTCCTGCACATCTACTAACGTAATATATGCCATCATGTGCCATCATGGGCTCTTGCCTGCCGGCTCTGTGGGGCTCCTGCTGGCTGGCCCTGTGCCCTGGGGGGCTGCTTTTGCCAGGCCAGGTAGGGCCTACCGCACTGCGCTGTGGGTGGGTGGCTGTTCTGGCCAGGCCATGTACTTAGAGTTGCCAGGTGTCCAGTTTTGAACCGGACCAGTATTTGAGCTTTCTGTTTGGGAAACAAATTGAGAAAACATAAATGTCCAGGATTTTATAAATCAGATGTAATGTAGATTGTGAAGTAATGTCAAGTGTGTCTGGTATTTTTGTTGAAACCATCTGGCAACCCTACATGTACTGGTTAGCTGTGTTACCAGTATGCACCGCCTAGTAAGGGTTAACCAGTTACCCATTTACATCCCTAGTGACAGAGGGCAGTGTGCGAGAAAAAAATGCAACAGAGATATTTCAGGGCCAAATAAAGGAAAGATAGTCTAGTGGCTAATATGCAAGACTCTAGGTGAGGACCACTAGGCTCACTGGTGTGGAAACTAAGGGTAGGGCGGTGTGCTACTGTTTTCCTTGACTTAAAGTGGTTTCTATCATGTACAAGGTTTACAGTTTAGTCCAGAGGCTCTCAGCATCCCCAGTATACAAATGTTCCAGCACCCCTAACTGAGTTCTACTCTCAGCTCTGGTATTAAGTCAACATGTGACTTTAAAAGTCATACCACCACTTTTTGCCTCTATTTTCACCTTGTAAAATGAAAATAATGATCGCAGCCTACCTTAGGATTCACCGAAGACGTAGCTCTACTTTCTTATTAGAGAGAGACAGTCTGAACCAGAAAAATTTTGCATGCCCACATCCTCAAAGATGTCACTTGAGCTAATTTGAACTTGGCAAATACAGACAGTCCCCAGGTTACGTACAAGATAGGGACTGTAGCTTTGTTCTTAAGTTGAATCTGTATGTAAGTCGGAACTGGCGTCCAGATTCAGCCGCTGCTGAAACTGATCAGCGGCTGACTACAGGAAGCCCGAGGCAGAGTTGCTCTGCCCCAGGCTTCCTGGAATCAGCCGCTG